AAACCTTGTCTCTTGGACGAAAAATGCTATAAAATTGACTGGCAAAGAACCACTTCATATCATGGTGTTTGATTGATTCATTATCGTGCAAKAATCTTGTATCGACTCTGCATCGTATGTGAACGAGGAACAGTATTCAGTGCAATAAGATTTCGTCACGACTGGACTCGGTACAAAGGTAAGACGACATTTTGTATTCATTGAGCTAGATAACATCCAACAAACACTTTATAAGTCATCAGAAAGCGATATTTATCCTCCAATCATGTCACCAATCGTTAGTGGTTGTTTATTGCTGTCTAAGTACCTATATGAATTCGAAATCTAAAATTATTATCGAATGTCGTCGAATTGAACACTATTTTGCATGTATGCTCGCGATTTCATAACGTAATTAAATGCCCCTAAATATTTGTAGGAATTCTATTTGATTTACTTATCCTATTTATCATACTTGTGATTTAGAACATTATCATGAGTTATTTACTCTTAAAATCTATTTATTTACTGTTTGAGTTCAAGTTAATAATGCAATGTCTACTTGTCGCCATTTTCAAAACACAGGAAGCCCAATTTAAAATATACTGCTGAAGACTTTGAAGAGAAGACATGTCATGGTGGAAAGCATGTTTTATCGGTGAATCAAAACTAGAAGCTGGTGAGACTAAAGATGCCATAAGATACTTTAAAGATGCCCTGGCGATTGCACAAAGGAATGGCTCTAAAAAGGAAGAAACTCTCACGCTAGGAAGACTGGCTGAAATTTACTGTGATATAGAAAATTATCACGAAGCTGTTGAATACTATGAGAAGGGACTGGAAATAGTACAAGATACTGGTGACAAGAAACTAGAGTGTGAGATGTGTCATGTCATTGACAATGCGTATGGTAAACTGGGAGATTATGAAAAGTTTATGGAGTATTCAAAACAAGGCTTGACTGTTGCATTAAGAATCGGTGACTCTACACTCACTGCAGATTCTTATGAAGGTCTTGGTCGTGCTTACAATGCCCTGTGTGACTATCAAAATAGTATTAAGTGCTACAAAAAAGCTATTGATATGTACAAACAACTGAATGATGAAGAAGGATTAGGGCGTTGTTATGGAAACATGTCATTATCCTATCAAAAGCAAGGAAAGTACCATGATGCAATTCGTCTATTAGAGGAGAGTCTCGAGATARGTGTTAAAATTGGAAGAAAAGAAGATCAGGCGAGTGACTTACTTAATTTGGGAACAACATACACAATGTTGAATGATTATGATAAGGCCATCAAGATGTTCCAGAAAAGTCTTGCTATCAGTATAGAGATCGGTAATAAACGTCTTCAAGCAAAATGTTACTGTAGCCTGGGAAATGTTTTGTTTCATGATTGTAATAAATATTCAGAAGCCATTGTGTATTATCAGAAATGCTTAGACATTTCAAAAGAAATCGATGATAAACAATCACAATCGGTCACCTTAGTAAACATTGGCGCATGCTTAGAGGAATTACATCGATACGAAGAGGCGAAGAAACAATACGACATTAGTCTTGCTATTGCTAAAGAATTAAATGACAAAGGTCTTGAGGCAATTATTTATCGTTCTATGGCTGAAAACAATATNGCAACATGTTGTATGCTCCATCCAACAACATCCAACACTTCAAACACGGTGGCTAAACGAGAAAATGTTGCATCGCGCAACAATGTTGCATGGTGTTGCATCGTGCAACATTTACCGTTTGGCCGGGCCTTTAGACTTCTGGCAACAACTTCATAGAAGTAATGGTATACACTACTTCCTCAATTAATATGTGAGCGCTGTCATTGTAAAAGGCACCTATAAGCTACTGAGGTCCCTATTGGGCGCTGCCCTTTACCCTACAGATCACTGATCTCGGTCGTGTTCTTCAGCGTCCATTTGCATTGACAACACTCATGTAGTTTTCTGACTAGCGCAAGCGCTGTGCTGTCATGCTGGTATGGAGTCCGAGCGAGCTATTTAGAAGGCCAGCGACTTCAACTCACCTTTGTCATTTGCTACGAGACAAGTAACGCGCGCGACGATTTACCCTCTCTTCTTTCAAACCAGAATAACAAAGMCAAYAGTCAWGKCTACCTGATCATGATGTGTTGGCTGTAAGGTTAAACAGCGCTTTCTCCACGTAGATGGGAATCCGAAAAAACTGCGTTATCTTGGTGCTCTTCTGCTCAACAATTGTACTAACATAATTATGGTCTGATAAAACCGATGCTGCATTCTGATTGAAAGCTCTAATAGAGGTCTAATTTAGACCATAAGAAAAGAAGCAAGATCGCRGATGAAAAGAGGAAAACCACGATAAACGATAATTTCTTGCCCTGAGAACTGTCGTTCTCTCTTGTTATTTTGAAAGAAAAAGGATTTTACRCKTTCTGTGTTTACTGCTCCAAAAAGGAGATTAGCATGTGATGTGAAGTGTGATAAAAACATTTTCGACTCTGAGTGATTATTYTAAYTTACACCAAACGAGTTCGTTCGATAAAATGTATTGTCCTCTTGTGTGCACAAGAAAATATTATGTGCGAAGGCACCAACACAGGGATCCCACTAATAAGAAGCAGTGAAATGAAAGACGGAAACTGGAAAAGCATTTTACTTGAAGTGATACTCTTAAAGGAGACGACATTCAAGATTACAGGATTGCTTGTTATTATGAATATGTATGATCTAATGAAACAATCTATAGCTTTTTAAAAAATATTAAAATTACAACAAATAAAATGTGAAATATCTTTATAGTGACATTATGTACAATAGTATGCTTTCTTTCTATATTTCACTCTTTCAGTTGTCATTCACTGAAATCTTTAATTTTATCTCTCAAATGATCAAACATTGATTCTTCAATTCATTCATTGTTGATATACACAATAAATCATATTGTAGCTACCAAACTGGCACATTTATTTATCAAATCATATTCATCTTGTGTCAGGAGGCTTAAAGGGACTTTTTGAAATTCTTAGATTTATTCAAATCNGTTTACTTGTCGCCATTTTGAAAACACAGGAAGCCCAATTTGATATACTGAAGGCTTTGGAGAGACAACATGAAATGGTCGAAGGCATGTTCTATCGGTGAATCAAAACTACAAGCTGGTGAGACTAGAGATGCTATAAGATACTTTAAAAAGGCCCTGATGATTGCACAAAAGAATGGCTCTAAAAAGGAAGAAGCTGTCACACTTGAACGACTTGGTAATGTTTACTGTGATATAGAAAATTATCACGAAGCTGTTGATTACTATGAGAGGGACTGGAAATAGTACAAGAGACTGGTGACAAGAAACTAGAGTGTGAGATGTGTAATAGCATTGGCGCTGCGTGTGAAAAACTGGGAGATTATGAAAAGTTTATGGAGTATTCAAAACAAGGCTTCAATATTGCGTTAAGAATCGGTGACTCTAGACTCACTGCAGATTCTTATGAAGGTCTTGGTCGTGCTTACTATACCCTGTGTGACTATCAAAATAGTGTTAAGTGCCATAAAAAAGCTGTTGATATGTACAAACAACTGAATGATGAAGAAGGATTAGGGAGTTGTTATGGAAACATGTCATTATCATATCAGTTGCAAGGAAAGTACCATGATGCAATTCGTCTAAGAGAGGAGAGTCTCGAGATTAGTGTTAAAATTGGAAGAAAGGAAGGTCAAGCGAGTGACTTACTTAACTTGGGATCAATATACACGAAGCTGAATGATATTGATAAGGCCGTCGAGATGAACCAGAAAAGTCTTACTATCAGTATAGATATCAGTAACAAAGATCTTCAAGCAAAATGTTATGTTGGACTGGGAAATGTTTTGTTTCATTATTGTAACAAATATTCAGAAGCCATTGTGTATTATCAGAAATGCTTAGACATTTCAAAAGAAATCGATGATAAACAATCACAATCGGTCACCTTAGTAAACATTGGCGTATGCTTAACGGAATTACATTGATACGAAGAGGCGAGTAAACACTATGACATTAGTCTTGCTATTGCTAAAGAATTAAATGACAAAGGTCTTGAGGCAAGTATTTATTATTTTATTGCTAAAAACAATATAAGCAGAAATCAATTTCAAACTGCTTTAACTTTATTGGAGAAATGCCTTGACATCGCTTCAACTATCGGCAATAAAGAACTTGAAGGTGAAGCTTGTTATCTTCTTGGTCAAATATACTATTCATTACACAAAGAGACAAACCAAGGACATCAAGAATGTCATAATACTGATGATAATATAGCTAAATCAGAAGAATACTTGAGGAAGGCACTTGATTATTTTGACTTTTTGTTTCAACATCTCCATCAACGGGACGATTTCAAAGTCTCTATTTTTGATAACTTCAATGAAATCTATAAGTTCCTCACGACTGTGCTGATCAACACAGGGAGACCACAAGAGGCTCTGTTAGTATCTGATGGTGGACGAGCACGTGCTTTAGGAGATCTCTTRATCTTCAAATACGCTATGATTGAAAGAGAAATGTCATTGCCTAAGCCACTAACCTATCCTGATGTGGAGGCGATCTTCTTTAAAGATGTCTTCTCRATGCTGCATTACAGCTTACTAAGCAACAGTTTGGCTGTGTGGGTTTTAGCTAAAGACTCACTGATGTTCAGAGAAACTGAAAAGGAACAATTTGATTCT